ATAAGTTCATTAAGAAAAAAGGCATAAAAGAGATGAGTTACCAATAGTTGGTTAAGAGATTGGAGAAGAGCTATTGAGTCGAGTGTGAGTGAGAGATGGGAGAAGATTAGCATTGTAGTGGTTGCACAATGGGTAGTGATGGTGAGAGCTTGAAGGGAATCATAGATGAGGATTGAAAAGTAGAAATAGAGTTATACCGCAGAGCCACAGAGGAGGAATCGCAAATCTGAAATTAAAATCTTTGGATAGTCCTTCTAGGGTTACCAATGTAAACTGGGCTAAACAATTAGGTTTAGGAAGACTAGATTGACAAAAAGAATGAGCTGAACTTGACAATTAGGTTTGGGAAAACTAAAAAAAGAATGAGTTGTGAAATTTAAGTTGTATTGGCATTGGGTTAACTAATTAGGTTGTAAGTAAAAATTAATTGTTAAAATTCCTCGAGAAATTTTATATAAAAAAAAATACCTTTATCCATGTCCCACAAGGAAAAATATTATTGGAATCTCTATTCCAAGAACGGGATCTCCATGGAACTCCACGCGTCATGGAAAAAATTGGCATCCCTTCATATTCTAATATAATGTGGGAAAATGACAGAACTGTTATTTGGCAGATTTGAATCTGTGTTGAACAAAAGTGTGGCTTCCATTTCAACGAAATCCATTGTCCTCCATTTCCAAATTCTCCAAAATGTCAATGGGCGAAGAAAATGGAGATCGCTGACAACGACAACGACAACGACAACGTGTATTAATTCCGTTCTGCAACAGATTGGCGAGGCCTTTTCTTGTAAAAATTTCCTCGTTGGCGGCGTTTTACAAATTCTTCAAACTGGAATAGAAAATGCAAAAGGAGAAAAGTCGTACTATTAATTCGGTCCTCCAAATTATAAGGCCTCCTTTTTATGATAATTTGTAATTAATTTTTTAATTAAAAAATAAAAATCTTATTAAGATAAAAGATTACAACTGAATTTTTATAATATGATATCTTAACTTTAAAAAAAAAGCATAATCTATTCTATAAATTTTAAATTTAAATTAACTTTAATCATGATGAATATATACAATTAAAAAAAAAATCTCAATTAGAGATTGCTGGTGCAATCGGGCCCAATGTGCGTGTCTATCTCTGTCACTGCCTCTAAGATGCAATATAAATCTTTGATGTCGAATTAAGGTTGCTGAGATACCAATCAAATAGTTACAGGAGTTCAAATATCAATTACAAAAAAATGGCTCATTTCAATCTAATAATATTGAACTTTGAGTTAAAATTATTCACTTCACTTCTTGTGAGTTACACGTTAAATCTTAAAAAAACTTATTTTTCATCGTTCCTATGTTAAAAAAAAAAAGAAAAAAAAAAGCACCAACTGCAAAAGGGGACTAGTTGTTGAAGTCTGTTGTGCATGGAGTTACTGTCGCCAAGGCAGGTCAGCCAGCGATGAAAAAGAGCGGATGTTTCTCGATGGTGTGAATGCAGGTGAGGGATATAAAAAGAGAGGGGAGGCTCCTAAAACAGAGAGGTTTCTCGAAGGATTGGCCCACCGCTGCCTAAACCTAACCTTAGAGTTTTTTTTTTTTTCTTTAAACAGTGTACAATTTGGGGATGGGAGAAGGGAGTTTTCAGGTGATGGAGTTTCAAATCTTGATCACCTCTCCCAAACACTTTAAGATTTGAGATCAAACCATTGAACTTAAAAACCTGGTTCTTAACCTTACAGTTAGTGCACAAAGAGTCATGAATATACCTTTGACTTTTAATTAATTTTCTATTAATTAGCTAGCTTGATGTTATATTAAAAAATAAAAAAATTTAAAATTAAAATGTCTTAACATTTTAAGAGTTTTTTTATAAAATTATTTAAATATTATTTAATACAATTTTTTATTACATTTTAATTTATTTAAAATATTTTAATATTTTTATTATCATTCTTAATATTTTAATTTCTAATAAATTCAATTTTCCTTAATCTCTCAAAAAGATGTTATTTTGAGAATTAGAGTATGAATTTAATCTCTCATGGGAAGTGTTTGTTCGACTCCACGAGGCCGTATATAGTTGACGTGGTGTAAGAAATAAATGGGAAAGATCGGTGGGAGTGGCCCACGGGTTTAAGAACATTGAACTCACCTGACATAGTTGACCTGTTCATAGAAATAAATGGAAAGTTTTACTGTAGAGGTCCTTGAAGGCTGCTTTGCTAGTACATAATGATCAGTTTGGATGATTCCTTCAACCAAAACAACAGCTACATACATGGGTCATAAGCGCAGCCTTCTTGGCCTTCTGCTTCTTCTGTTGTGGTCATGCCTAGACAGCATTGGACTTGATTTGGTGGAAGGAAGATGCAGGCACATAGAAAGAGAAGCGCTTCTTGCATTCAAGGAAGGTCTCACTGATCCCTCTGGTAGGCTTTCTTCCTGGATTGGACCAGATTGCTGCAAATGGGCAGGTGTTGGCTGTGACAACCGAACCAGTCATGTTATCATCCTCAATCTTAGAAATCCATATCCAGAAAGTGATGACTCTTCCGTCCTCAAAAAACATGCTTTAGGTGGCACCATAACTCCTTCTCTTCAATACTTGAAGCATCTTGGTTACTTGGATATGAGTCATAATGATTTTGGAGGGATTCGGATTCCCAACTTCTTTGGCATGCTTCATAATTTGGAGTATCTTAATCTCTCCTTTGCATCCTTTGGTGGACAGATTCCATCATCTCTTGCAAACTTGTCAAGCTTGCAGTATCTTGATGTTGCACAATATTGGGAAGATATACATGTCAGAGATCTGCACTGGCTGGCAGGTCTCTCTTCTTTGAGATACCTAAATCTTGGAGGGGTGAATCTCAGTGCCACGGGAGAACGTTGGATTCAAGCAATCAATAAACTTCCTTCTTTGTTGGAGTTGAATTTGTCTAGTTGTCAACTTGCTCACCTCCCTCCCACACTTCCCTTCCTCAACTTTACTTCTCTTTTGGCAATCGACATGTCAGCCAATAATTTCAACTCTACCTTGCCAAATTGGTTATACAACCTTACCAAGCTTCAACATCTTGATCTGCATTTGAATGCATTCAATGGTGTTGATCTCATTCACAAACAGCTAGGGAACCTCTGCAACTTAAAAATTCTGGACCTTTCAGACAACAATTTTCATGGCGAGATCAAATATTTGTTGGGTGATTTTCAAGGCTGTTCAAAGACCAGCTTAATTTGGCTACAATTGTCATACAACAAATTTGTAGGATCTTTGCCAAATTCCTTAGGTGATCTCAAGAATCTGCAATATTTTGATGTCTCCAACAACAACCTGACAGGATCTTTACCAAATTCACTAGCAACACTCAAACACTTGCAACATCTTAATCTCTCCTCAAACTCTTTTTCAGGTTCTATTCCAGAATCCATAGGGAACTTGTCATCATTGAGGATGCTGGATCTCTCTGACAATATCATGAATGGGACAATTCCTGAAAGTTTTGGCCAACTCTTAGCACTAGTTGAGGTAAGACTCAATTCTCCTCGGAATCTTGATCCTAAATATAATTCATGGAGTGGTGTTTTTACTGAAGCCCACTTGATCAATCTTACAAGCCTAGAAAACATCATACTTACAGTAGTTTCCTCGAGTTCTCTAGTTTTTAATGTAAGTAATGACTGGGTTCCACCATTCATGCTGAAAGAGATTCACATTGAAAACTGTTTGTTAAGCAAGTTTCCTGCATGGCTCAAGTCTCAAAGTGAACTTACTCATGTTCTTTTGAGGAATGCTGGAATTTCTGACACCATACCAGACCCTTGGTTCTCCACTCAGATTAAGCAATTGGATCTATCCAATAACAAGATCAAGGGAAGGTTGCCGAGGACACTGGCATCTCAAAATCTATCCTCCATTGATTTGAGTTCAAATTTGTTTGAAGGTCAAATCCCATTGTGGTCCACCGATGCAAAGATGTTATATCTTCATGACAATTTGTTTTCCGGACCTATTCCTGAAAACATTGGTGAGCATATGCCTGGATTGATTGAGTTAGTTATTTCAGGGAATCGTCTTCAGGGTAGCATCCCATCATCTCTCTGCAAAATGAAGTATCTAGAAATTCTTTCCTTGGGAAGCAACAGGCTCTCCGGAGAACTTCCTGATTGTTGGGATCAAAGTCAAACTTTTAAAGTTCTGGATGTAGTTAACAACAGTATATCAGGCAGAATCCCAAGGTCTATATGCTTCTTAAGAGGCCTCCAGTTCTTACTCTTGAGCAAGAACAATTTTCATGGGAAAATTCCTACTTGCTTGCAAAATTGTTCTGGTTTGCGGAGCCTTGATCTTGCGGAAAATAGATTTTCTGGAAAACTACCTCCATCAATTGGACCAAACCTAAAAATCCTACGTGTGGGGTCCAACTCTATAACTGGGAAAATTCCCCCAGAATTGTGCATTATGAAATGTGTTCACATTTTAGATCTTTCAAACAACAGTTTTTCTGGGGTTATTCCCAACTGTGTTAATAACTTGACAATGTTGGTCATTGGGAATACTTGTCCATTGTCCATCAATCCCTTCAGCAAGTTCAAGCAGCAGGCCACCATAATGACCAAAGGCACAAAACTCGACTATAGGGGCAGGACTCTTGAATATGTTAACAACATTGATCTTTCAAGGAATAATCTTACAGGGAGAATTCCTGAAGAGATAACTACAATAGCTGCATTGGGCATCCTGAATTTGTCCATGAATCATCTTAGTGGAAGCATCCCCGACACGATTGGCAATATGCGATGGCTAGAGTCACTTGACTTGTCTCAAAATCAACTTTCTGGTCGAATCCCTGCAAGTTTGTCTTCTTTGACTTCCTTGAGTTATTTGAACTTGTCTTACAATAACTTGACAGGAAAAATTCCCTCTGGAAATCAACTTGAGACTCTGAACAATCCATCCATCTATGAGGGCAATCCCCTGCTTTGTGGCTTTCCCCTTACCAAGTGTCCCGAAGATTCTACTTCCATTGGATCAACTTCTTCTGACAACGGTAACAAAGACTATGACAAAATATGGTTAGCCGTTAGCATTATCACTGGATTTCTTGTTGGTTTTTGGGGTGTTTGTGGCAGTTTAGCATTAAAAGAGTCATGGAGGCATGCGTTCTTTGGATATGTCAACCAAATAAACGAGAAGATACTATTTTGGATTGAACTAAAGGTGGCTCGCTACAAAAGGAGGCATGAGGAGCCAAATAATATAAGGTATTAGAAAACTGTAGTATTTTTAGGCTGCTTGTTTAGCTTAGTAAATAAGACACCTTTGAATTCAGTGTCCTTTATGGCTTTGCCTCTATTTTCCTTAGTAATTTCATGCATTTGTAAATTCGCTTTATTAGTACTTTTGTTAATGTAATTTAAATATTGTATCTATTCAGTTCATGAGAACTCAATCAATGATAATTTATAAAAAAAAAAGAATAAGAATTCTTCGTTGTTTTTTCATTTATCAGTAAAAATCAAAATCACTCAAGTTGGCTTACAAGGCTATTCTTTGGGCTAATTCACCTAACAATGGCTAAGGCATTATATTAGAATACAAAAAACAAGAAGCAAACCACGGAAAAATGTAGCATGAATGAAGTATCACTATAACTTTTAGAAGATTGAGTTAAAGATTGCGCTTGCCCCTAATTTTGCCCTTACCACGGTTCTTCCTTTTCCCTAGCTCGAACTACATAGATAGATCTAGTTGTTGTGGGAGGAAGTAAATGGGGAAGATAAGTTAGAGTGGCTAAGGGGTTAAGCATAAGGACAACTGAAATCAAGAATTTACAGGTCAAGGTCAACCCCCGCATATATCAATTCATCTTAAACCATAGTTGATAACCTTGATTCCTTTTAAAATTTTAATTAGAAAAACATTTCCCTTTTATTTTTTCTTCTCTTCTGTTTTTTCATCTTAAACCATTTCTTTTCTTTCTTTTTTTTTTTTGTTAACAGCGACAACAATTATGAGACGATGGGTCTTTTTGGGCCATAGCCCATAAGAACACAGTTCCTAGAAAAGGAAAAACTAAGAAGTACGGTGTTTTTATAA